CACAAATTGAAAAAGAAACCCTAGCTGTGGTGTTCGGTCTTGAACGATTTGACCAGTATACGTATGGCAGAAAAGTCATAGTACAGAATGACCACAAGTCTCTGACCTCAATCCTGAAGAAACCTTTGAGCCAGACCCCAAAACGACTACAAGCACTGATGCTACGAGTTCATCGCTATGACATTGAATTTCACTACATTCAAGGAAGTCAAGAGCTTTTCTTGATGTTCCTGACGCACAGGTGAGAGTCATGGAAGTAAACGCTTTGAAAGGAGCGCCAGATGAGCGAATCCGGGAAGTACAAGCGGCTACCACACAGGACCAATGTATGCAGTCCCTGTTGAGCACTATAAAAGATGGTTGGCCAGAAAGCAAGAAGGATGTACAAAATGATCTGAAGCCATATTTTGATGTGCGAGACACATTGAGCCATCAAAATGGAATTATCCTAAAGGGAGAAAGAATAGTTATCCCAGCATCACTTCGTGACACCACAAAGAAACGATTGCACTCTGCATATTTGGGATACGATAGTATGATGAGACGAGCCCGAGACATCATATTTTGGCCCGGAATGGCAACAGAAGTACGACAGCTAGCAGAGAACTGTGAGGCTTGCCAGCAATACAAACCACAAAACCAGAAAGAGCCATTAAAAGAGTACGAGGAAGGGCAAGTACCTTGGAATAAGGTTGGAATTGAACTTTTCGAGATCAAGGGAAGAGATTATCTAGCCACGGTTGACTGTTTCTCGTGTTTCATAGAAGTTGACCACCTAAGCACTGCCACAAGTAAACAGATAATCATCAAAATCAAAGGACATTTTGCAAGATATGGCATACCAAGTGAATTGGTAACTGATTGTGCATTACGTGGTTCACAATTTATTTCCTGCGAGTTCAAGACCTTCACCAAACACTGGGGAATTAAGCATGTAACATCGTCACCCCTCCATCACCAATCGAATGGAAAAGCGGAAGCTGCGGTTAAAACTATAAAGCTAATGATGAAGAAGTCACTGCGGGACAACGCTGATCAATATGAGGCTTTACCCGAACTGAGAAACACGCCACGCCAGGGTACTGGACAAAGTCCAGCTAAAATGATGTTTGGTCGAGCAACACAATCATTCCTACCAGCCATATCGAACACAAAATCAGAACGGGCGAGAAATGCAACACAGAAGGGAGCCAAACACCGCCTTCTGGTTAAGCAAAGTTATGACAAAGGCGCTCGAGACCTGAAACAACTGTCACCTGGTTAGCCGGTGTACTACCAACACACAGAAGGAAAGAAGTATGACTCGAGAAGAGGAAAAGTACGTGTCAAACACAGTGAACGATCGTATATCATTGAAAGAAAGAATGGTGTATATAGAAGAAACCGAGTTCATATACGCCCCACGACAAGTGAAGTCAACAAAAATAACAGTAAAGACAACAAGGGAGAAGCAGAGGTACAAGCAAGACCACAACAAGCAAAACAAAAGCCCCACTGGACGAAAGACTATACAGTATGTTAAAGTTTTATTACTATATTAATGATTGAGATAGACATTAGATATATATTCGGACACGATACAGAAACTTACAGTAATCTGCAGTCTAGCATCAAAGGAACTATCACAGTACATTCACTTTGAATGGTTATATATATATATATATATATATGCCTTTTTGTAAAAAGAGAGAGATGTTGATATTTGATTTTGAGCCCGCAGTCGGGAGTCCTAGCGGGCGCGCATGCGTAAGTTGTTGTTCTTAAAAAGCATGACGTGAAGGCCGCCTTTTAGTATTAAACTAGAACTTAATTGAGCTTAATACAGACTTGTAGTCTTTTTTAACATAGCATCATTTTGTGTGCTTGATTTACATAGTACCGAACTGAATTTGTCAGCAGGTTGTATATGCGACATTTTTAGGCAAATGTGGCAGGGAGCCAGTTAAATAACTAGTAAGCATGGATCAAATTGGACAAATGAAATACAAGATAAAGAGTTGGTTGCATCCCAGTGAACTTTATATCCTTGTTCCCAGGCCTTCAACAACGCAGGCAGCCGAGAAGCCCTGGGAACGAGGAAGGGGTGCCGCGGTTTCGGGAAGTTGGCAGATGGAAGTTGAAAATTTGATATGAGTGTGCGAAAGTCTTGTCTGGTCATATGTTATAGTTGTTTAAAGTTTAAACATGCAGTTAGAAAATGCATTAAAAACTTGAGTTAGGAATTACCTGTACGTTTAAATTAATAATCGACGAATAATTTTGTCTTTGGTTGCATGTTGTAAGTATTGTCAGGCCAGCATCTCAACTACTCGCGTTATAGGATCGAACTCATGCAGGCTTTATTGATTAACAGAAAAAATGAGAGCGTATACTCCATAAAAACATGTACAGTCACAAACATATCGTGCTTTATTAAGCAAGCATTAATGAATAATGTATTCGTAAGCGATTTTACAACGGCGTTTCGATACTAATTTATGCATCATATTTTTAAGTCGAAGTAATTTATACTTATACGGTTCTATTAGCTAATGGCGAATTATTACTTAAAAATTATATCGCTTTACATTTGTTTCACAAAATATCATAGCAAGAAATTGAGAAATGGCTCAAAATATCATTTAAACACTCAAACAATGAATGCAATTATAAAATTTGGTACCGGTTAATAGCATAATGAATTTTCGTTAATTTATTTATACCATTGTTATAGCTACCACAAGAAATTATTTTAGCAGTTTTTGACCATTTCATACCCAAGTATGCGTGAGAGCTGGGTTATTTAATTAAAAACAACTGGATTATTGAACGCCTATACCTCTAAGCAGAGTAATAAATTGATTAAATATGAGTCATTGTCTTATTTGAGCAATTGCATTATGCGCTGCCCTTTGACATGCAGGTGGTGAAAATACGAATTTAAGCATAATCGTTATGCGTATTACATGTAAATAAGTATACAACAAACGGTTGTCTATTCGTAAAAAAACCTATTGATTTTATAATGGTATACACAATTATGTTTTTAAAGCCGCAAAATGCCAAAAAGTCATTTGGAACTGTACATGTACATTATATGTGGACGTTTTAAATTTGTGAGTAGATCTTTCCTACCCACTGCTGCGATGTCACAGCGAATTGTCCCCCCCCCCTCCCGCGGACACCACTATTCGCGTGTCCCCCCGGACACCACTATTCGCGAGCGGAAAGTGTCCCCTTTAATTACATTTCCCGGGATAGTGTCCCCCCCCCCCCATACGTAGTGAACGAAAAATATGCTCGGATTTATAAGGATTTTTGTCAAATTTTGCTTTTCGTCGTATTCAATAATTCTGGTAAATAAACTCTGTATAATTTTGAAGAATAACGCGCATTCCGTGTTTCACGAAAAATACGAAGCAGTGACTGAAACAAGTACGGGCTGCTATTATGTCTGTTAAACTAATTGCCATGCACGGATGCATCTGCATGAAGGAAAGTATTTTTTTACTAAATCTCATTTTTTAAAGTCATTGAGTATTAAATATTTGTGAATCAGAATACACTCAACCACATAGGCGAGGAATAGAAAATCGGAAACAATAATCGTCCGTGCAACTCGTGCAAGTGAACGGTTCTTTCTACACTTTGTATAATGATGCTAAGGAAGCGGTCATTAATCTGGGAGGGTGGGCGGTGGGAGAGAAAAAGGGTTTGAATTGGGGGCGGCCTCAAACTGAAATAATGTGACAAGGCAGTGGCGGCGGAACAGAGGGCTGGGGGGGGTTAGTTCTCCCAGAAGTAAAAGTGGGGGGGGGGCTTAGCCCCAAAAAACACATGAAGAATACCAGAATGCGAGACCATTTATACAAACTACGAAGTCGTCAAATTATTGCTCCTGGCTAAAATGCAAAAGAAAATATCCTACTTTGTGATCATGTGAATGTAAATTGGGTTTCTTTCACGCTGAGTATATATCTTTTATCTATACAGTAAATAGCTACAACAAAGTCAGAGTATTGGCCTTTGTGGTTATTTAGGAAATGGGACAAATAAAAGTTAAGTGAAGAAGTTTCAGGCTTTCCTAATGGGCGATTCCAGACGAAATTTTGACGAAATTTCGCTTATTGACGAAATTTTGATCAAAACAAGAAGAACGAAATCCAATACCACGGCTATAGAAAGAGCGTCTTAGAATGAATAAAACTGCAAAGATTGGTCGCTAAAGTGTAGCAACTATAGCCTATGAAAATATAGCCCTGTGAAGTTCGCAAATTTTGTATATATTTGTATTACGCGCGCGGTAAAATAACCACTTTCGGGTCAAAGATGGTTATTTTTCCCGCGCGCAATGCAAATACAGTATATACAAAATTTTCGAACCTCATAGGGCTATATTTTCCTCATTTTACAGCAATTCGCAATCAAACATTTTTAAAAAGCATTTTTACTCATTTTAAGATGCTCTTTCCAGCTATGATAATGGATTCCGTTCTTCTTGTCTTGATCAAAATTTCGTCAATAGCTGGGATCATCCATTGATTCTAACGATTTCGAAGGACATAGAATAAGAACTTCTGATGCAAGCATTGCATTTATCTTGTGTTTGTGCTCTTTGTGTCAAAGCGAGAGTATGGACTACGGAATGCAACTGTATTTCTAGTTTAGTTAACATTTTCAAATCATTAAAATGCTTAATATTATGTTTTATGGCCAGTCAGACAAAATTTAACACTGCTTATGTGCTGTTTGCGCAGATCGTATAGTGTTCTTTTCAAGCTTTTTGCGGCTTATATAATTGGTCGTTATATAATTTGCTTCGATTGCTCATTAATTCATCATGAGTCAATGAGTCATGAGATCAAATGATCTATGCATAATTGCATATCTGTATTTTCCTAGATTTCGATTAATTTTTCAAAGGTAGGAGAATAAATCACTACACGCACTATGCCGTTTGCGGTTTCTGTTTCCACTTAGTCAAAAACTATACGGTAAAAACATGTTTTTTTAATTTAGCCCTCCCAAAATAGAATATGTTCCGCCGTCCCTGTGACAAGGGGCGACCCAAATTTTTTAATACTTTCCTACCCATTTTCAATCTCTCGGCTTTATCGTATCCCACAAAATATTTCACCTTCTTTAGTTCCTATATAATCATAGTTCCCTAGTTTATTACGTATATGCAGTTCACCATAGCAGTTGGAGTAAGCCAACAACCGTTTATACTGCCAATACTGGTCCTTTAATTATTTAGGCTACACAATGTCTTAACACCAGTACTTGACCCATTACCCATATTACACCAAGAAATGTAACGAATTAAATATTGGGGGGGAGGGGGGTTTCTTGAATTTTCTAGATGAAGATGGGAGCGACTCTAAAAAAATTCAATATTTGGTATTTATCACCCCCGCCACCCCCCCATCCCCCGCCCCCTCCCATTATTAGGAAGTTTAAGATCTTGACGACGAACTACCGACTACGTTTGGAATAGTCATATGTATGCAAATACTAAATGCTTGTCATAACAAATTTATCCCAAATAGGGTTAATATGCATGGCTTTGTGTTCGGCAAGTTTCATTTTTTTAATTTTCATCATTTCTTTATAAAAATACTCTCCAACCTGCAACGTTACGCAGTCAGTTTCGGTGCTATGTTCTTGATTCTGTTTTACAACACAAGAATGTGATTTTTGCGTTGTAGCCAAGGTCGCTACGGTGAAAAGTATGCTCTGAGGATATGTAAATTTTGTCTCCCTTTGTTAAAGCAATGCGAAAACAAGCTTTCAACCGTACTCTGTACCCGTTATTCGTTGTCGGGATCTTTAAACTTCCTATTAATGACCTGTCCCTAACGATTGCCCATGGCAAAAAGTTTTCCTGTGTACCGAGATCTCGCTTTTTGACTGGCGAGATCTCGGTGACCGGGATAATGTTTTTCCCATATGAACACAACTTTCCCGCTTAGCGGGATAACTTTCTGTCGTGTCAACAAGTCAATTCAATTGATGTTCAGTGCCACGTCACAGTCGAAAACGTTACCGAAAACGATAAAGTTTCTCCATATGAACAGAACAAAAGTATTTGGCTAGTCGAAAAGTTTTCTCGTTAACCGGGATAACTTTTGCCCATATGAACAGGCCCTAATAATTAAACTTCCATGCAAGACACTCCTTTCACTTTGTTTTCAATAACAGTAGGATTAAATGCAATAATAAAAAGGACTGAATAAATTAATATTCGCATTCCAAGTTTCCAAGTTCAAGAAAAACAATGTTAATACGATCGTATAACGTATACATGTATATCAACACCAACGTCTCATTCTATGAATGTAGTCGCTAGTTTGCGAGCGGACAGAAGGGGGGGGGCACAATCTTTTGGGGGAGGGGGTGGGGGCAGTTTCTGTGATACCTGCATTCATATTGTGCATGAACATGTTAAATTAAATAGCCCTTTGGCGTTATTATTATACTTGCCACCCTTAATTGAAATTTTACTCCTACACCTATTGAGGTAATCCATATATGCATGTATATACACCGTTACCAAATTTGGAAAAAAATGTTTGATAATTAATCAGTTGAAACTTACCTTATTTGCCCTTATATGCCCTTAAACGCATTTAGGCTTACTTCAAAGCTTGTTCTTTTCTCTTTCAAACAAACTATTATCCTTGTCTCCAATGCTAGTAATAATTGCACAGGAAAAGATTTAGTAAAACTTATCATTTTTAGTTGCTGTTTAATTATGCAAGTTTATACTATGTTATTGTTTAGTCGGTTTAAATGTTAGAATTTTCTTCTTTAAACTTTAATGTTGTCGTCACTACATCTGGAAAACCACGTAAGAACAAATTGAAAGTATTTTAAAAGAGACCAGGTTGTTTGAAAATCCTAAACGAATGCTAAAAATCGTCAAAACATTCTGGTGTCTGAGCCAGAGTGTCATCGAATTGCGATGTAATGTAAACAGAAATTATAGCAAGTTGATGTCAGTCAGCTTAGATGGTCCAAGCCAAAATTATATCGCATTTGAAGTTTCAAACTGAGTTAAAAATAGTGGAAGAAAAGCCGTAATTATACTTATTGTTACAATCCATTTAATAAAATGCAACATTTTTTTGTTTTAATGAAAAATCAGTTATTTTCATGAGAACGATTTGTTATTCCATCTCAATTTTTTTAATCTCCAATCGCAATAACGTAAAGTATTATTACCCGCGAACCAATGAGTCAAATTTAAGAAACAACCCACTGTTAGAAAGCTGAATGGCTACGCTTTAAAATGAATGTAAACTTTAACGTTTTCGCCTATTATTTGTTTAGCAATTCACAATTCAGTCGAGGATTGCGCTTTTTTTGATACACCCTGTATATATATATATATATATATATACACAATAATACGGCAAATAATATACTTCAAGCATGCATATCTGCCTTTTGTGACTCCCTGCCGTGCTACGTTACGCTGTGTTACACCAGAGTCACGAGGCCTTAAGGGGCTGAAGCAATGGTAGTCAGTGCTCCAAGCAGTATTGGTGCAAGATAAGCAGGTCATGAAGTATTTTTATTAGAATATACAATATACATGTATACGATCGAAGTGTGTAAAAGTTTAACTCGTCAGATTGTCGAGTAGTCTTGAGAATTTAAATGCAAATAAAAAATCCTTATTTCCATAAAATTTAGAAATGCAAAGAATCTTTGTAGTAATCCTCCTTGATCGTCTTGGACACTAAAACAAATTGCGTGGGCAATTGAGCAGTGAGACAAAGATTAGAAAAAAAACGGGAAGCTGAAGGGTCTAGAGAAGAAAAAGAATTAAGAAGAATTTTTCAAGCAAATTTATCAACTGTTCATGATTGGAATTCCCACACAATTTGGCTGAGAGTAAAGATTGCGTTACTATTCAAACAAACGTCAATACTATACTGTTGACTAGGAAGTTAAATATCAGCGGGAGTTGATTGACTCTCGATGCTCGTCGCAACGACTACAAGCATAAATATGAAGGGCACAAGTCTCATCGTCATTGGAGTATTATTGACAGCTGCTTCATCGGTGAGTGAATAATCATTACAAGTGTTTCGTTTCTTACTGATGTATCTTTAAATGTTTCTATATTGGCGGTTATATTTAAGTGTACGTTTCGGTTTCTAGTCCAATATATGGCTCGAACGATACAATTGTAAATGCTAATAGCGGCGGAAAGTCATTCCGCGATGTCCTCAGTCGACTAGCAGTTGAAATGTAGGTTTATCCTCTACTGCTCTTTTCAAGCTGCTTCACCGCTTGTGAGCTGAATTAACAATATTTGACTGTGTGACAATGTCAATGTCTAATGCGGTTACATACCACTATTGCTATAGGTCAGTAGGTGTAATTACTTCATGTTGTATGCCCAGAGCCGGACATATTTGGTCAAATTCTGATGAAATGAAGAAGTGTATGCGAGTTTAGTATTGACAATAAAATGTGTATCTTTCTTGTTTTTTCATGTTCAAGTAAATCCTTGTGGAACGCTATCCTTTGTCTGATACGACTGATAAGCAAACAAGTAATTTAGTATTCATACAGATTACGACTGAAAATATATGCAGCTAAAAACGTATGGAGCACTACGTTAAATTGCTACATTTTAACCATTCATATTTTAATATTTTAATTACGTTTTAAGTTACCAACAAGTATCCGGCCTTCTATCGTATCGACCACAATTTACAATATACCATTGATGCTTTTACAACCTATATTTCAGCCAATTGCTGAGGTTAACATTATGCATGAGCAGACGTGTTCAGAAATATATCTACATATCACATATATGCAGTCGTCAGTACATCAGACAAATTTATAAAACTGCTATTGTTAATATTGGGTTAAGCAATTATTATGCCTTATGGTCAATTACAGGCCATGTTTGGATCATTTCTATATACCATGCTTGCACTGATGCTAGTATTTTAGATAATCAAAATCATATGGTGAGCATTGGCCACCTCATTGTTACGTACATCAAAATAGTCCACTGAAATTCACAGGAATATTATTTTTACAATGCAATGCCAGTGGAAAAAATGGACAGTGACAACTCAGACTCATCATAATTCATCATAAGAATTAAGAAATGAATATAATTTTAGGGAACAAACAGCAATCTTTACAGGAAATGCAAATACCTGGAAAAATAATAGCGGAGCGAGCTTCAGCTTCAGCTTATGTTTTCAGGTATAGGGTTGTTGTATTTCCTATAGAAATTGTTTATTCTCATCACTATAGCTATCTATACGCTGGCTTCGAGATTATAATTTTAAAGGTCGTCCAGGTTCTGTTTATAACAGTCATATTTTCGCGTCTTGCACATTAACGACGAGATGTTTTCCACACCTACATGCATGCATTAACCTTGGCTGCTGCATGTACTATTAACCTAGCTTGCATGCTATTCTGAAACTGCTGTTTTAAATGTATAGTTTGGCTATATTTGTATAATTTTCGGTAAGGCCTTATTTCATGCACCACTAGAGTCCAAAACATTATTTGGCCGATGCCCTTGCCAAGCCGGGCTTTGCTTTGCTTTGCCGTCTTCTATGTTTTAAGCTACAGCTGTTATTGTGGTTGTTGCATGACTATTATAGAACAAGGCACACTTGAATCGGAAATTATCTTCAAGTTCAAGGTTGGCTAAATTTCATATTAACTGGCAAGTATATGTATGAACTTAAGTCAGACAAACTGACGACAAGATCGCAGATAACAACCTTGCAATAAACAACTATGAAAGAGTGTCTTTGAATCTTTGAAACGACACGCAATTATGAAGAAGTGTTTTGAAAGTTGTCTGGTTTTCAGAGCATGCCATGGTAACGTTTTAAAATTGATTGTCAGCTTCGTATAGTGAGATGACCGAGAAAAGGCCAAACCGCGTAAGCAAATCAACTAAAAATTGTGCATGTATAGACATTCATTTCAGGCTTCTTAATACGAACATTCTCTTAATGTATCGTGCTGCCAAATTATGTTTCAGTGTGACACTTAATAGTCACTTATGTACAGTATATCATTCAGTATGGAGGACTGTCAACAATACGAAACATTTGAATATTGTACATGTATCAGCAATTCTCTAAAGTCTCTTTATGTCCTTCATGGTGCTTTAAAAATAGTTTGTTTAGGGTATTAGGACGCCATCGTATCCAGTAATTATTTTAAATTTTATCACTGCAAAAAATTATATAAAATTTTTCGGAATGTTAAACAGCGATGCAGGAGCATACACAGAGTACTGTACTTGAATTTTCAGTTAGTGATAATTCACTCCGGATCGAATTATTTTCGACCACATTATACGCTTCGTTTGGAGTTAAATTTAGTTCAAAATAATTAACTCCTTGACATTTAGTAGTGTAGGCTGTGTAGCTCTGTAGCTAATAATGTAACCCATGCAGATCTCTTGTCACTCATTTCGAAGTTGCTTTAAATTGTCGCTTGTTTTATTGTAATAGCCTAAATGTGTCACTTTTGACCCATCACACAAATCGCAATGTGTCCCTTTATATATTTCTTAGATTGTCTGTCGCTTCTTTTTAATGAATGTCGCTTATATAAGTGCATGGCATTGAACTTGCCAATTCTTGAATCAAAATAAATCTAAAACAAGCCATAACCGGCATAAGGTATATACTTTTGCTTATATGGCCCTATGGGGGTACAAGTATATTTTAAAAAGGTCCTGACTCTATAGACACTATATATTATGACATATATCAGAGAGGGTTATAATGATTGACGTTTACGGCAGACCGCTGTAACCGCGAATTAACGTACGGTAAACTGAAAATCCTACTTGAAAGTAAGTTCTGCAAGTTTTCAGTCGACAGTTCAATCGTATCAGCTAACATGCAGTTCACCGTGCCAGGCCTCGAAATACGATTTGAAGTTTGCCGTTTCAACCGTTTGCGGTTAGGCTTCACGTTTCCGGGAACGGCAAACCACAGCTACAGTAGGTTCGAACTTTCTTGGCAAAATTTTCGTTCAACTTTTTCGTTTCATATTTTCTTTCTTGCGTCGAAAGAATAATTATTGTATGTATTTCAGTTTTAAAACAGCAAGTTTAGTTTACTCTTTATTGCTTGATACCGTAAAATTTTTCTTTGCCTGGCGTTTGCCGTATAAGTCTCTGTTAGCACTCTACCGTAAACGTCAACCTCTAAACCTATAGCTGCCGTAAACCTATTTAACACAGCAACAATTTCTTACTTTAAGACCGATCAATTAATTGATTAAGAGTTATGGAAGTTTAATGCGATCTTATGAATATATATTAATAATAATATATACATGTATAAATATTTCAGGGACGCTATACAATTGCTCCGTACATGGAATTTAAACTTCTTGTTTTATTTTAACATCTTTTCCAAGTGTTTTTGCTATGCTGAAGATGAATAACCTTAAAATATCCAACTAAGACACTAAAATCCAACTTTCACCGAAACCGGAGAAAGCATGCACAGCTGTCGATCAAGATAATTAATTTGCTTTTAAGTTGTCAGTGGAATTTCTGAAATAATTAAACCATGCGGATGTCGAAGTATATATGAAAGCATTGCGCATAGGGATGTCGCCGCTGCATGTGAAGGGAAGGACGCGGGAAAACGTCAGTGGGTTTTGTGGTGCTGTAAGACAATTGTATTTTGACGCAAAGTAGCTATCTTCAAAACTGCAGGAAGTATACCGTTTCATTCATGCCAATGTGGAACACACAATAAGTTACCACGTAAACACAACAATCAGTTCAAATATTTATCCCTATAGCTACGATAAAAGCCACGGTCATAAATGCAACAGTCTTCAGTACAAAATTTTGTCCGTACGTAAAGATATTTAGTATCAGCTGTTTGATGCCAACAGCAAACCCTATTTTAACCAGGTATAAAATAAACAGAATATCATGCAATAAGTTTTCCTGGTAAATTATGCACTTGTGATCATGGGAGTGGTGAGTCATGCAGAGACAGGACGTAGCTATAAGTAGAATGAACGCGGAATTTATATCTGACGAAAAGCAAAATAGGAGATACGCCTAATTAAGGATGTCACAGACTAGCTGCATATATGCCCATTCATGGTATGGCTATATGCGTATATTCCAAATGCGTGTTACGCAGCTGAAAAAATAGATTTCGCAGTTGGACGCGTGCGTTGCAGAATTTATGTCTTTTGTCTTACAAAACATATATCTGATAAAAATAGTACGTTAATCAGTATGATCAAATAGGTTTTTTTTACAAATTCTAAACCTTAGACCTTACACCTTAAACTCTAAGCGCAAAACGTGCAATGGAAACGCTTTCCATCGTAAATTCTAATTGCTGGCTTATCCAGGTTATTTTCCACAGCGAACATTCATGCTTTGAATTAAAGAGGGCTCTGAAGGGGTAAAATGGGAACTGGGATTGACCTATTATTAGACTGGGAAAATGGGATTTGGGTTGCTGGGACTGGGATTTGGCCACTGGGAATGAGAAATGAAGTCCTCAAAAATGGGAATGGGATTGAAGTAATGCGAGTCGATTCCCAATTTTGATTCGTTTTTGGTGTCTTTGGTCACGATTTTTGTTGTTAACTATATTATTCACAGCACTACCTGCGAACAGGCATACTCTGAAGCCCGGAATTCTGGGTTTTCTGATTATGCGTGTCTCAGACTAGTATCGGAATGCTGCAAATGCCATTCCCGGGATTCAAATTTAAATTAAACACGAGCCACCCCCCATATTTCATAAAGTGTCTGCCATTTGCACACACGATGGTTTAAAAGGTATTAAAACTGTTTATTCTACCGATAAATAAAGGGTTTTTTATTGACTGGGATTTCAATAACTCGGACTGGGATTTCTAATAAAAATCCAACTGGGACTGGGATTTTGCCAAAATTTCAGGCGGGAAATGGGATTGGAACCCCCCC